TTGATATTGGCTCAAATTTACATATTGGTACATCCCTAGTAAACCAGAGATGAGTAAATAATCACAAAACTGTGCTTTGTGCATCGCTTTGTGTATATTTCAGATCTTAAATATCCAAAATAAATAAGCAAAACAACAGAAACAACAAATTAAATGAATTATGGAGTGTCTGTAAAAAAATTGCCCTTCAAAAAAGACCAAAGCTCCAGACTGAAGACTTTTGTCATCCAGTTTTTGGTGAAAAAAGTAAAACAATAAATCATGCAAATGGTAATTGAGCTTGTCTTGATTACTTATACAATTCATTGATTTATTGCTTACCGAGATCCGTTTAAAATCTGTCTTTGAATTTCCCTTCAAATCTGTCTGATGTGCTTTTTTTGTCACCAGCTTATTGTAGAAAAATTTACCCAAAACTAATAATATTGAAAACTTTAAGAACTAAATTGAGGTTCTTTGTTTTTTTTTGTTTTTTTTTTTTCTAAAATTTGCCATCAGTTTTAAATGTCAGTTTATTGGTTGTACTCTCTCGGTGTATAGATGACTGTCGTTCAGCTTTGTCTTCCAGTTTTGCTTTTAGCTAGTTTGCGGCGACGGCTCGTATTTTCTGAGCAGCGTTTGGATCCTCTGCAGCATTATGCAATCTGTGACGTTCTCTCTTGAAATGCTGTTTCTGGCGGACGCGAGTTTTGCTCGTTGGTGTTGGTTTCGGCCTGCGGTTGCAACACTGGTGACAGCAGTGACTGAGCCTTCCTCGTTCTCCTCTGGTTTTTTTCTGGGGTTTCTGTCTTTGTGCATGTCTGTTCGCGCGATTTCCCCTCGCTCTGGCTGTATTGTGAACAGCCAGCGAAACCTCACAGTATCTGTGTCTCTTTAGCAGCCAGCCTGACACCTTTCTGGTCTTGTCTGCTGCGGCTGCTTTAATGGACGGATGATGCAACTCTAGCTAACCAGCAGCTGAGTGTGTGCGCCTCTTTTTAGGAGTGTGAGAGAAAGACTTTTTGGGAGAAAGAAGGGTGGGGAGGGGGTGTTGCTGAATGAAGCTCAGGCTGGATGTTTGCACTGTAGGGTGGGCGGTTGCTAGGCAGTAGCAGTGTGTTTGTTTTATTTTTAGAGCGAATCACAGCTGGTCAGTGTTACAGAACTGTCTTTCTCTCATACGTTGCACGTGAGTGCAGCTCCACATTTACTAAACGACATCAAAAACGTGGGGCAACATCAAACGTCGAGCCTGAGAATACATATTTTTTTTCTATAACGGTGCGACAGGAAGGCGGCAGAAGTATGAATGGCCCGTCCTTGCTGTCTCACGCTGGTCGTGAAATGTAAGCCGACCTGCCGTATTTATAGAGCATCTTTTTCTCGCACACAGACCGTGACGGTGCACACATGCGCAGTCACACACAAAAACACACACGACGTCCTGAGAAAGCAGCCGGAGTCGCTCCCTGCATGTAACAGCCTTTTTTGGGCACACGCGCTTGTCATGGCGCAATCATGCTCATGTGGAAAGTGAAGCACTTTGATGAATCAACCTCAGTTTGATTATTATTATTGTTATTATTACTTTTTTAAAATAGATTTCCTGGTCTTAGTATTGCCAGTCAAGCGACCTCTAAGAATTTTTACTTCTGCGTAGAATACAAAGTACTTTCACCAATTGGTAACAAGAGATACCCTGATTGTTTTTCAGGGCTAACCTTTCATTAGCTTTCTTAATGGATGGCAAAGTGTATTCTTCAGTTTGCCACAAATCCACTTTGATTGGGATCAGGGGGAATATATTTTTGAATTGTTCATGTTTCAAAGCTAAGAACGTAGCTTTCAAATACACCAGTCTACTTTGATGAACTTTTTTTTTTTTTTTACTTCCGTCAAAAATAGATTAATGCTTTGCGGCAAAGTTATGTTATTTTGTGATTATTAAATTTTCTTCTGGATTCAAATCCACAATCTCAATCACATAATCTGGAGCACATTTATTTGATTCTCATTTTTAGAATAAAAAATTCTGACTCTTCTTCAGATTTGTAAGCATTGTTTTTTTTGTTGTTGTTAATATTGTACTGTTATTACTGTGTTGCTGGAAGTATGTTTAAAAAGTATGAAATTAGCTTTTAGCTTTTTTTTCAGTTGTGAATACCTTTATTAAATACAATTTAGATACAAGAGGACATATTTAAGCAGAACTGCTCATTAAAATCCTGGCATTATATATATATATATTCTTCCTATTACTATTGTTGGTGATATTCATATTGCAAAGGACTGCTTAGAGAGCAATAATTGTTAGCTAGTATCTTCCGTGTATCTCAGACTTGGAGCCTCCTGGCAGCAGATGCTCACAATAAACCCAAATCTCATTAGAAACAGAGAAAAAAAGCCTCAAATTACATCTGATATCCTCATTGGAATATTTAACAATATTTTCACCTTTGTGAAAGTTTCTAATATTTTGTTGCCCTAGACAAATTTCAGCCTGTTAAATTATCACTTTTAACTTGCTGGTCAAAAACTATCAAAACAAAACAGAACACCTCCCTTTTGCTGGTCATGGGATGCACGTTATTAAAATATTTTTACAATTGCTACTACCTCCTGATAGTTCAATATGTGATGCTGCATATCGTGCTGTCGATGATGCTTAGAAAAAAAGACATGCTGTAGTATTTTTCAAATGTTTCTATAAATGAGGGACGTCAAAGTCACTTTTATTTTGGGCCGTATCAAAAATCTGAATGTTCTTAAAGGGCCAGTTGTGCCAGAATATATTGTCAAAACCAATTAAACTCTCAATAAATAGCTGTTCCAACATGATTTTGATTGTTTTAGTCTTTGTTGGAATCAAAATTATAGATTTTGTGGTACCAATTTAGAAATGTTAGGAATTTTTACGATATTTGCACCAATGTATGATGTTAAGTATAACTCTTTATTACTCACCTTATCAATTACAGACTACGACTTGACATCAAGTAAGGCTGAGACAGCAATTACTTAAACTCAATGTTTTTGACCAACTTTGAAAAAAATTGCAGTGAAATCAGAAATAATGTGGAGATCTGTTAATTTTATGTGAATTTTGCAGTTTTGTGAAAAACTGGAAGGATGTATTGGTGTAGTTTGGAGTCCAGAGGGCCACAGAAAGCTACAGTAGGCCAGATTTGGTCCACAGGCCTTGAGTTTGACACAGCTGCTGTAAAATCATCACACAAACCCCTAATAGAGGGATTCAGACAGTTGTTTTGTTCAGGCAGGGTTTTATTAACATTTAGTTTTAGAAATCTAGTTCCAAAGAAGTGTTTTTCTCCCCTCTGTCTGTTTGAAAGGTTCTCAGCAACATTTTTAATTTATCTGTAGAGACGGAGGTGATTTTCAAATTGAAATGGGGCCCCTTTGCAGGTTCTTGCCTGGTGTGATTGTAGTTCTGGGCCTCTGGTGCTCTGGGTCGGCTCCAGTGCTGCCAGAATCACTGCTTCTGTCCGCTGTTCATCTGGAAGGAATTCACAGCACTTCACCGTTTCCACATTTTAATCCAAATTGTATAAATGAACTTCTTTCCTAAAAATTCCACACACAAATGTATGACAATGTGGAAATGAATGAAAATAGAAAACCAAGCAATCATATTTGTTTGAAAGTTTGTTTACAGCGGATTTGTCAAAGTAGTGATAACTTTTTAAGGATTTTCCTGTAGAAACCTTAAAAAAATCATCAGAAAACTTTCTTAATTAAGCGCATAATGTTCATATTCTCTGCTGTCCTCAATTCTTTAAAAACCCTGAAGTTGCCTCAAGTAATAGCTGAGCAAGCATTTGGAAAGTCTCTTTTTTTTTTCCTTTTTCACCATCGAGCTGATTATATAAGACACATACCTGGACAATAAAACACACAGTGGAAACATTTCCAGTCATGAATCTGCTTTACCGGAGCCCAGAAATCCACGTTGTAGAAGCCGGAGAGCGATCATTTTGACAGAGAACAGGGCACACGGACAAAAGGTGTCCAGACAAAATCTGGGATGTTCTTCGGAAAGCCACTCCTAACGGGTGATTTAAGAACGCAAAAAGACTATATAAATCACTAAGCATGCGTGTGATTTAAAGGATAAGAATTTGTGGATTGTAAATAATTTTAAGCGTTAGACAGTTCAGTGCAGAAAGATTTTATTCTGATGTTCAGACGGGGAAGTAACAGCATTCAGGAAAAGAGCAATGCATGAAAATTCACTGAAGCACATATCTATTTGATATTCTACTCGTCAAAAAATTGTATAGAGCTGAAACGATTCATCGTATTAGTTGTGACGAATCGATAATGGAAATAATTGTCAACTAGTTTCATAATCGAGTAACAGGAATATACAGACTCAAAAAAAGGCCATTTGCTGAAAGTACAGCAATTAAGCCAAAGCTGTACAAAAGATATACATATTTTTGATTTAAGATGGAAAAAATAAATTCAAAAAAACTTTGTCTGTAATTTACCCAAAACCGTAGTGGCAGTTTCAGCTTCACTAGGTGCAAATTGTGTAAAAATAATAAAAATTAAAAAAACTCTTGTTAGCCAATTATCCCAAAAATAATCAATGCACTTAACACTGTATTGATGTTAAGTCAAGCAGAAAAGGCTGAGCTTTCCACTTGTTTATGTTGGAAGTATTTTTGTAGCTGCAAATTCATACTTTGCTGCAATTAGTCAAGCGTACATGAAAGGAATGCTTTATTATTATTGCGTCTCTGGCAATAAAATGTTTACTTTCTCTTTTTAAAGAGAGAGCTTGAATCATTTGTTTGCATAATCTTTTTCAAACATTATATAAAGAGTTTTTCAAAGAAAAATCTGCAGAATGAGCACATTTTTATATCAGTTAATCATCAGAATAATCTATTGCTAAAATAATCGCTTTGTTCATGTGTGTTTATGGCACAACAGTGAAACTGAGTCAGATGTTAAACCATAAAAGTTTTTCTCACGGTTTTTTGTGCTTTGTTCTCCAGTTGTAGGCAGCGATGGGTGCGTTCCTGGACAAGCCGAAGACAGAGAAGCACAGCGCCCACGGCGACGGAAACGGGCTGCGCTACGGTCTGAGCTCCATGCAGGGTTGGCGGGTGGAAATGGAGGACGCCCACACGGCGGTGGTGGGCCTTCCCCATGGACTCACCGACTGGTCTTTCTTCGCCGTTTATGACGGCCACGCCGGCTCGCGGGTCGCCAACTACTGCTCCGGGCACCTGCTGGACCACATCCTGACAGGAGGCACCGAGTTCGGATCGGGGCCGGGCTCCGTGGAGGGCGTGAAGGACGGGATCCGCTCGGGCTTTCTGAACATTGACGAGTACATGCGCAACTTCTCCGACCTGCGGCAGGGCCTGGACCGCAGCGGGTCGACAGCCGTGTGCGTGCTGCTCAGCCCCACTCACCTCTACTTCATTAACTGCGGCGACTCGCGAGCCGTGCTGTGTCGGGACGGAAAGGTGGGCTTCTCCACTCAGGACCACAAGCCCTGCAACCCCCGCGAAAAGGAGCGCATCCAGAATGCTGGCGGCTCGGTCATGATCCAGAGGGTAAACGGCTCCCTGGCGGTGTCACGAGCTCTCGGGGACTACGACTACAAATGTGTGGATGGTAAGGGCCCCACGGAGCAGCTGGTGAGCCCGGAGCCGGAGGTTTGCGTGTTGGAGCGGGCGGCCGAAGGAGACGAGTTTGTGGTTCTGGCGTGCGACGGAATCTGGGACGTCATGTCCAACGAAGAGCTGTGTGATTTTGTAAGATCACGACTATTGGTTTGTGAAGATCTGGAAAAGATCTGTAACTCGGTGGTGGACACCTGTCTTCATAAGGTAAGCCGTTTCTAACAATTAGTATCTGCTCCTATTGAACACAGTGCTTTGCTTTCTCTTCAACATAAATTTGTCACTATAAGCAATTAATTAATCGCATTATTATGAGCTGGATAATTTCTGATCATTAATATTTTTTGAAGGGCAATGTTTGTTACTGATACATAAAATCCACTTTATAGTTTTGGTTGGTTTTTGTGAAAATGAACAGGATAAAATATGTGAAACAATTCCTCATTGTCAGAAATACGTTCACACAGAAACAGCGTGTGGTTGGTCTTGAAGAAATGTTAAAACTCTGCGTCTTTAACAGCCCTCAAAATCAACCTTGCTTATATTAGCTTCGTGTCTGTTTCCATTATGTTACAATGCTCCGCCATGAAGCTCGGCTAAAAAAGCACCAATATGGTGAAACAAAATATTGTTGAGTCTTTGTATTTCAAAAACCTCGTTTTGGATCACATACCAGACTTTGTTTGGACTGTTTCTCTTTCTTATTCTGGTATGGCCCCGCCATCTTTATTTCTGTAGTAACTGGCTTTGTTTAAGGATGACCCTCTGTTGTATGTTGGCCAAACTACAACTTTGAATGAAGGTTTTAGTGGAAATTAATGATTGGAACTAATTTGTATAGACAATCATAAGTTTATTAATTGCTTGCATTCCTAGTACAGCCTGAACACGGTGTGCAAAATAATTAAATATAATTTAACAAAGCGTTAAGGCAGAGAAATTTTCCTCGAGAAATTTTAATAATTGAGTTGCTCCAATCACTCGAGGAATCGTTTCAGCCGAGTGAAAAGTTTGAATTTTTTTACAAGTCAGTGTCTTTCAGTTAAAATTTTATGTAGAAAAAAATTTGCATAGGTCTCCATCTGACCTCCTTATTTAATAGTCCTAAAAACAGGAATCTTCTGGAAATAAACAGTTTGTTTATTAACTGAGCCATCTGGGAGAAGGTTTATCACCTACATTTGTGCTTAAAATATATACACCAACTGGCTGCTGTTGTTCCTAGTTCCTGTCCACATCTTGGACATTTCACTGTCCACGTGTCTTTAGCTTTGCGTCCTGGGCTCTCCAAGAACCAGCAAGCGTACAGCAGACGAGTTATTTTTACCTTACTGGATGGGTTATCTCAAGTATCAGCCACGCAGGCATAAATCCGCTCTTCTGTCGCTACCTTTTGTAATGTATGTGAAACTGACACCTTTAGAAATCTACTGTAACCACGCCGAGTCATTCGGTGAGATGTCGATTCCTTTGGGTTTTTTGTTTTGTTTTGGTTTTTTTGGCTGCTTTGGGCTCATCTTCTGTCGCTGTTTGACTTGAAAAAGGCAATTATGATGTCTAGTTTGTGTTTTTATCTTGAAGACTTTGAAACATTGAAAGACATTCCAGAAGCTTTTCATTAAAAAACAATAGGTGAAAAATAAATAACTGGTCCACATCTCTACAGCATATCAACATTTAATTTAGCAAAACTTTGCCGACAAATTATGATTTCCAGTTTTTGTAAAGCTCTCACCTTTAATCTTTAAACAAATCATTTTTATCTGTTAAGAGGCTAAGAAACTTTGACAGACTTTGGTTTTGACCAGTGAAAGCCTGAATGGTTCCTCTCTTGTTCCTCCTGTCTTTGCGATTCAATTCATTAAGTTCATGGAAATGATGTGAACCCATTTTCAGCAAATAAAAAAAGAAATCTAAATTGCTTTGCTCGATAATAACACAAATTCTGCTACTCAAAAATGCTTCATTTATTCCAACGGGAACTTAAATGTTGACTTATTTGATCCAAGTATCTTCAATGATTTGTGGATGGTGGAAGGATCTCTGGTAGCAGTCAGTGTCGCAACTAATCTGAAAAGGCTTCTGACTGAAAACTGTTGCTGTATGATGGTCTTATGTCTGTCATGACATGCTAACAGCTCAACATCCAGACAGCAGAGACAATATTCCACACCAACATCAGTCGTTTTTCAATCACTTCTAATCCACCTCATTTGCTTTTGCCACTCCTCTTCAAACTGTCTGCAACGAATTCATATGCAGCTGTAGTCATTTATGATGCTCGTTACAGTAAAGCGTAGCACTTCCATGCAATTTTAATTGTAGCGCTCAAAACGTGCCACAGCCTGGCACGGATTAAATGCCGGCTTTAGGGAGGGGTTGCCGCTGCATGCCACTGTTAAGAAGGAAGCTATGTCGGATTTGTGAGGCAAGACAAAACAAGAGTAACGTTGCAAAACAGCATTTGGAAGAGCATCTCGTTTTTGTTGTTTTTATAACCTGTGAAAAACCAAAATCGCAATTAGGAAAAACTGGATTAACTCGTGTCTTAGACAGAACATTTTGTCTCCTGATGTTTGTTGCCTCACATTCACAGGTTTTGGTTTGCTTTATTTTCCATACAAGCACAGAAAACTCCTAGTCGGGTGCAGTGAACCAGAACCCTGTTATTAAAGTTTTCTGTTTGCATTTGCATAGTACAAACTTTAACCCATGAAGCTGAGTTGTGTTTTCTCTGTATGTGTTTCTGCAGGGAAGCAGAGACAACATGAGCGTGGTGTTGGTGTGTTTGCCCGGAGCGCCTAAGATCTCAGAGGAGGCCATGAAAAAAGAAGAAGAATTGGATAAATATCTAGAAACGCGTGTTGAGGGTCAGCATTTCAAGCACACACGTCCACAGAGACGCACGTTGTTTTAAACTGTACATGTTTTAAACCACTCTGCTAATTCTTGCTGACTCTACACTCAATCGTCTTCTTCAAAAAATATAGCAACAAAATGACTATTCATATAATTGAATACATTTGAACAACTTAAAGTAAAAAGTATTGCTTTAATTGCCTTGGTTCGTCACACACAAACACACATCCAGCAGCTATGTAATGCCGCCCATTTGTTGCGACGGGAATTTTCCAGGTTGTCCGTTAATCAACTCCAGCGCAGCCGCCCGCAGTGTTCAGCCTGTCTGCTCACCTGTTGCCAGCCGTTCGCTCTGAACCAGCAGTTCCAGGAGGAGAGAGGCTGCCGTACTCCAAGCATCCCGTCAGTCAATTATCCATCCCCTGAAAAACGACAAAAACCCGTCATCAATCGATAAAATCCTCCCAGACCAAACTTGAAAATTGGACGTTATGCTGCTAGTACTTGGCAACGATGCGTAGGCGGACGTAATAGCTTTGCCCAACACAAATAATGACCCGGCCAGAACACGGTGCGCTAAGTAAGAAAACATAATTTAACGAAGATTCGAGGCAGATAAATTTTCCTTGAGGAATTTTAACAATTGAGGTAATCAATTATTTCCTCAGTAATTCTTCAAATCGAGGAATCGTTGCAGCCTTACTGATAACAAATGAGAACATTCTGCTTACAAATTTTGAGCTGATTGTGTTCAAACAGAAATACAGAAACAATACCAAACTTCACAGGCAGCAAGTATTTTTCTGAACATCAATTTGACACAGTCACACTTTTTGAGTATTCAACCAATTTCTTTCCCTTATTGTTTTATTGATTGATTCGTCTTCATAGGGAATTGTCTGGGGCTAAATCGTACACTTGACTTGTGCGATAGTAAAATGGCCACAACATCTGGTCTTACTGTGTCCATTCTGCTTCTTTTGCTTGCAGAGCTGCTGGGAAACTGTGGAGAGGAGGGAGTCCCTGACCTGGTGTCTGTCCTAAGGAATATCGCCTCAGAAAACATCCCTAACCTTCCGCCTGGTGGAGGCCTGGCCAGCAAGTAAATATAACTGAGCTGCATGTTCTGAACGCACACAGCAGATCAGGAATAGACGCAACCGTGACTATCCACGTTTTAGATTTGATTACTTAGAAACTTGTCCTCAAATTGATGAATAAACAATGAATTTTCTAGACTTTTCAAAACACCAGCTAGAAAATATTGATGTATTTCCCCTAATGCATCCAGTTAATAATACATGCTATAGAATAGGCCTGTCACAATAAAACAATAGACCAATTAATCGCATGATAAATCAGAAAACACTCAATTGAGTCTCTCTGTTTACCTAAAACTGAATGTTAAAAGTCTTCAGTCTGGTGTTTTGGTCTCTACAGGCCCTTCTTTGAAAGACATCATAATTCATTTTATTTATTACATTGTTTTCTTTATTTATTTTGGATATTGAAAATGTCTTCCAGTTCAATCTTTCACTTTTTTTGTGAATAAAAGTCTGAGAAGTGTGGTGTGCATCCATATTCTCCCCACCTGAACCAACACTTTATCTTCCACTTCGAAATTAAGCACTACCTGCTTAGTGCTGGTTTATCACAAAACTCAAGGTTTTGCTTCAGCATGTTTGTCATTTCTTGATGATTTAGGTAAAAAGTGAAGCGATAAAGAGATAAACAAGGTGGTTGTCATTCTGAGCAGAACATGGACCAAAAACGACGCTGCGCCGCATTTTCAACTGGGAGTTTTACTTCCATTAACCTCTCAATCAATACACATTAGTGAAAAATGAACAGAGACTGCATTATGTTGGGTGACGTTCCTCCCCAAGGACCAATGTGTGTGTGCTTGTTTTCTGTTTGCAGACGCAGTGTTATCGAGGCGGTGTACAACAAACTGAACCCTCACAGAGAAGAGGAAGGGGTGAGTTTAATGTTTTCTAAATTACCTCCCAGTTCCACAACCTCCAAACACACACATACACACACACACCAAACAGGACATCCATCTGTGTGTGTGCTGTGTGTTTGTGATGCAATCTGAATGAGATTTGAGCGAAGATGGGTGAAACTAAATCATCTGTCTCACTTTTATGTTCCATATTGAAACAAAACGCACAAAGTCCTTCGTAAACCTTCTGAACTTTTCATTTATGATCAACATGAAAGTCGTGATGGTCGGTTGTTGGGAACACTTTGAATGTTTTCGCCGATTGATTCACCATTGTCAGTCTTGTCGGACCAGTACGACGTATTTAGAGTCTCTTAGCTCTCAGCTAAGTCCACAAAGCACAAAAAATTCAAAGCAATGTCTTAATATAAAGTGAAACCGCTTCTGCTCGGGTGTAACGGTGTAGATATTTGTGCTAAAAATATTATGCGTCTGCTCGGTAAGCATCTGTACCAAGGAAATATGGAGTTTTATTGTTTAAAACAATGTTTTTATGCGAAACTAAGTGCACATTGCAAAAAGTGGCACCAAAACAAAACAAAGAGTCCTCTCTGAGCTAAACAGTTATCGTTTAGCTAACGTTTAGCTCAACTATGTCGGAATATTAAGGATTTTTATGCAGCTACAGTGGAGAAAGAAAGTGAACACAACTTTGTCAGCATACACTTCTTGAATCAGCTAAAGTCCAAATTCAGCTTCTTGGAGCATTCAGCTGTCCAAAACACTGCACAGCATCCGACTCGAGACGCAGCATCTCACTGGTGCCGTTTCGAGACCCTCTGACCAGAAGGGATTTCTCAACAACTTTGTTCTTACGGCCCATTTAGGAACATCTAGTAAACTGAACTGTCCAACTATCAAAACAGCTCTGAAGTGGTTAAGTCTTGTTTTATTCTCAAATGTCTGCACTGTTGTATTAAAAAGAAATCTTAAACACTGTTGACCATTTTCAAATGGTCTTGTTGTTATGTAGTTAAAACAAATCTCCTGTCAGTTTTGTACTGACCAGTTTTTGTTTCTCTGGACTGATGCGAACCAAAAACATACAAAACTATGACTTTAAAACAGAAGTATGTATCGAACATGGATTTTTGTGTCGGTACACCATGAGTTATATCCAACTTCGCTGAAAACAAGTGGTATATTTAAGAAAATGAATTCCTGATAATCTTACTTCATTCAATTAGAGTTTTATTGATATAAAGCATGTGGTGACAGTGGGAAGCCTCTATTCTTAACAGGAAGAAATCTGCAGCTTAGTCCTTTATCTGCAGTTTTTCACTGGATGCTAGAAAGAGGGGAATGAGACAGAAAAAAAACATGCAGGACTACGATTTGTGGTCCAGCAATGCCTGTATCAAATAAAAGTAACCAACTAAACACAGGAGTGCTTTTTATGAGAACGTTGAATTAAAAGCAGAGGTAGGAAGCAGACATGGGTAAACATGGAAGCCAACAGTACTTCCCCTGAGGGCAAACAAAGAAAGTAATCAGCTAATTGGAGCAATATCTCTGTTATTGACTTCACCCAGGAAATAGACATGGACAAACACAGAACCATTAGACCAGGTTTGTTTTCTATCAAAAGGAAAAAAAACGGATGAAAATGACAGAAAATATTTCCAAGACACATTCTGTCTCCTAAAAGTGTGTGACGATTTGAGGTTTAAATTATCTTCAGGCGTTTTGATTCGAATATTTTTTCATTTTCTAATGGTTATATTGAGACAAAGGCAAAAATAAAAAGAACGTCTCGTTTTGTAAAATTAGATATCGTTTGGATCAACTTTGTAGTAACAAGATGCAACACGCAAAATCTACATTCGCTGTGTAGTGCATATAACTAATTTAGTGAAACAAATCAGTTATGTTGACGGTCCACATCACATTTATTTCTGTTATTCTAACTTTGACTTTTAGCCAAAGAAAACACAAAATTCCTTTAAATATAGTTTTTTTATTGTTGTTTTTTCATGCAGAAATGCTATGTTGTAGCATCGAGTGGAAAACTGTCAGAGCTGCATATTAATGGAAGGTTTAATGGAAGAAAAACTGTTTTGGAAAAAGTTGGACAGTCTACAAAAACAATATGTTTTAGGTTTGGCCTCTAAAATGAATTACTCATCTTCCTCTTCTGCATAAATTATATTTGGGGTTTAGATCAGGCGTGTTTATTGTCCAATCAACTTCTCTAAAGTTTCCTGACAAACGGCTGCGCTGACTTTTTTTAAAAATTTTTTTTTTTGATAAGGCCAACGGCAGCTGGTGATGATTCGGTTCCCCCAAAAACCTCCAGACTCCATGAGGTTTTGCTTCACAATCCTGTTGCATGTGCACTTTTTTTCTACTTCAGTTTTTCCTTCCACTGAACCTTCTAGATGTGGATACAGTGTTCTGTGAACAGCCAACACGGAAGCTTGGAAGTTTGCTACTTTCTTTTGAGTCATATAAAAAGGGGAAAAAAATGCGTATTAAACCCCTTCAGCAAAAACACACATTCTTACCAAGTATTTTTTACTTTTGTTTCGAGTGCAAATATTGTTGTAAACTTGATTTAAGACAAACTAATTTAAAAGTAACTTATCGTCAAGATATAGAAGCTTATTTTAAGTATGCAACTCCTTAATATTGGTGAAAAAAATACTTCTTCCATTGGCAGATTATTTAAAATTGTCTTGTTAAATTTATCTTCCAAAAGAACAAGCACTTTTTAACCATTACCAAGGAATTATTTCAAACAAGCCTTAATATTTTGGTGAAAAGATACTTGTAAGTTTTTTGACTTATTTCAAGTGTAAGAAGATATTTGCACTATAATTGAGTCCAAATTTACTTGGTAAGATTTTGTGTTTTTACAATTTATTTGGTAAAAATGTATCAAAGAAAAATATACATATACATCCACTTGCACACTACAAAAACACAAAATCTTACAAAGTATTTTTGGGCTTGTTTCCTGTTAGTATATTTTAAATAAGACAAATTATCTTAAAAGTAACTTTTTAACAATGTATAGAGGTTTGTTTTAAGTAAATAATTCCTTAATACTGATGCAAAAGTTCTAGATCCACTGGCAGATTATTTCACTTATGTCATGACATTTTTTCCTGGTTATAAGTTAATTTATATGCCAGCGCAACAAGTACTTTTTCATCATTATTCAGGAATTGTTAGCTTTAAAAAGCCTCTATATGTAGCTAAAAACTGACTTCTTGGTTAGTTGATATTTGCCGTAGAAACTAGACCAAAAATACTTTCTGTTTTTACAGCACGCAAACATTCACAATAAATTTTCTGAGTCGTCCAGTTCATGCTGTATATAATTAAACATAAACAATGGCTTTAGCACGAAAAGTAGAAGAAATTTTCAATTTTTGAATTGAATTATAAAAGAAATGAACTTTTTGATGGTATTTAGATGCACATATACAATCATTACATCGATGGCTTCTTTTTGATGAAAAGTGTGTGTGAAAAAAATCTTTTACTTTCCTCTGGGCTGCCCCCTCTCCCAGCTAAAGCGCGACACTGGGTCCCGACAAAATCAGCTGTTGTGTGCCTGCTTGTTGGATGAAATGAATGCTCTTATGTGTTTGAACATGGAGGCTGTCTGCAGTGTCTGACGCTGGCGTGTCACCTCAGGGGGGAGGAGAGGAGGAGGAGGATGAGGAGGAGAGTGTGGAGGGAGGTGGCAGCACAGCAGCTCATCTGATGGAGGCTCTGCGGCAGTTCCGTCTCCACCACCGGGGGCAGTATCGCACAGTGCTGGAGGAGTCTCTGGCCGCCTACCATCTGCGAGGGGAGGGCACTGTCGAGGGAGCCGGGGAGATCAGGAGGACCTCTGACGGCGGCGACGAAGAGGAGCAGACCGACTCCCCGCGTTCGCCCCCACCCTCGCCCGCCACTGTGGAGGCGGAGGCCGGCCAAGATGCCCCAAAGCCTGATAACTCCTCTGACTGAGCGCGCAGCCAATCATCCACCCTCCTCCAGGGATGACCTCACTCCTCTTTCCCCAGCCACAGACCTTGACTAGGCAGATTGACCATTATATTGTTAATTTTCTCATTAATTAAAACATTTTATGATCATATTACAATAAAAGTAGCCTTTCTGTTCAAATTCTGTTTCCAACTCTCCACCGTTTAAAGATGAGTCTGTTTCCTTTTTTTGTAGAAACCAGTCAACCATCATATGTTGGTTATTGCAGAAATCAAAGCGAAACTTCCCAGTGCTTACTTTGGACTTACATTCTTCCTCCTCCTCTTCCTCTGCACTCCTTCTCTTTCCCTCACTCCATCATTGACTCAGAACACACAATTTGTCTCTTTGCACACCAGAAAATAAAACTCTTGTATGAATAAGGGAGTAAATGTAGCTCAGAGCGCCCGAACAAAAGCTTTAGGTGGAAAAACTTGAAAACTGATTTGTTTGCAGATGCATTTAATCTGTTCGTAGATCTTATCTGCCCCCACTGACCTTTGACCTTAATGCAAACTACATGGGGGGTGAATGGAGATATCTGGTTCGAAGAAAAAAAATGAGCAAAATTGATTTGCAAGTTATAACACGTATAATGCCTTCCACGTTTATTAGCACCCTTTGGTAAAGATGTGTTTAAAAGATTTGAAGTTTTTAGAAGGAAGTTTTTGTTAAAGCACTTAGTTTATACAAACTTTGGTCTTCTCTTATAATCTCTCATCGGCTCATCCCACCGTTTTTTTGACAGGATTTGGGTTTAAAAAAACTGATTTTGGATCAATATTGTGATTTAAAAAACCAAATAAATGACACATTTTCACTTTACGAGGAATGGAGTCCACCAGATTGTTATTCAGAAGGAAAATCAGACCCGCAGTATCACTGATCCCCCACTTTACTTAACAATCAGCATGAGTTAATTTTCTACGATGGAAATATTATTACCAGAATAAAGTCGCGATATTTCGAGAAGTCCAACGCGGAAAAGCAGTGTTACAACCGCACTGTCAGAGTTTTCTTAATATAACACATTTATTCTTCTAATACAATTTTATTCTCGTTTGAGTTTCTTTTCATGAAATGTCTTTACGCTTGTATTTTATTATGTTTTTTTAATTTTCTTAGCATGACTCTACTATATGGTTCCCAATTTCCAGGCAGACCTGCCTGAGGTTAATTCTCATCCCACTAGTAAACCTCTCATGTTAGCATGAGATGTTAGCATTTGGTGGTTGTCCATTCTTGAGGTTATGTACTATTTTAAAATTTTAATTTCCCTTACCATGCATCCCTCGGTGCTGATGTGTCGCGTCATATTTATTCCCTAGTGCAACAAAAAGAGAAGTTCCTAGAAACTGTTCAACTTCAAGAAGGATAAAATGGAAGAGTGCTTCAATTTTTAGAGATTTGACCAATGAGTGTTAATAAAAAAAAACACTCATGAATAGAGATTTATCAGTGTGTGATAAAGTCTTGAGACTTCATCACACACATTTAAGCATCTTTACCAAGGCGGGTTAATAAATCTGGCTGCTAACATGAAACACACTGTTGTGCAAAAATCTTTGCCAGGAAATGTATATAATCTCTGCTGACGTCGACATGTAAAGATGAAATTCATGTGAAAGATAGCTTTAGGTCGGTGCAAGATAATCACAAGCATGCAGTAACTCCTACATGAAGCATATTTTGCTCCAGGCCTTTCACCTCTGTAACTCTTCAGCACTGGACGCTTCATCTCAAATGTTTACTCTTCTTTAAATGCAGCTAGTCGCGGAGTATTGTTTGTCCGGTAATGCACGCGCTGCAATTATCCGCTCAAAAGCACTTAGCAATCTGAGGCAAGATTTATGCTAAAACTGTCTGTATGTGTGTTTATGAATCAGTTGTTTGTATTGTGGGACCTAATGAGTCCTGCAAGAATGACATTATCAAATAAAAAGATTCAAAATGCACTGCTCTAGATTATTTACATTTTAAAGGGTGTTTGTGTCAGTGTGTTAGATTTGTGGTCCCATGTCAGATCAGGCAGAATCTTGACTAATTCAGTAATTTGATAAAATAACTCGGGGTTTGATGCAGGGTTTTTTCCTCGCTGGTTTACTGGTGTTTTTCAGATTCCTTATCTAGTTGAAGGTGGCTTAAATGTGTGTTTTGCGTGGCTGTGTGTATCGAGTAGATATGGGCTATAAATGCTGCTTTTTTTCAAAATGGAAGAGCAAAAAATATTCCTAATGCTTCAAAACTGAAAAAACTCTGACTATTATATTGTTCTCTATTGAGATGATTTCTGCTTTTTTTTTTTTTTTTAAGTCCGATTCACCTATTTTGATTCACTTTTGCTTTTTTTTTTCTCCAAGGTCCACTAATGTGTGATGCATTGGGGGTTGTATGTCTTAATTCAAAAAACAACACTGTTGGGTTGCATGTAAAGACAGAAAATGGTGGCAGTTGTGAGTTTTTAAGTAAAAATATAGAAAAAATACTAACTTGTAGTATTAACGTGTTCAACTCTCATAAAACCTGATTTATAAAAGGGCTACATGGATTTATTTGGTTTTCCCAAAAAAAAGCTAGGAAAATTTTTAGCAATACATCACAGGCTGATAAATGATGCAACAAAAAATAAGATTGTTTTGTTAAAAAGATTTTATTATATATATATATATATATATATATATATATATATATATATATATATATATATATATATATAAAGACAATTATAAAAATCGATTTGCCCCCAAAAACATTGAATAAAGTATCAATATCCACCTTTTTTTTTTTTTTACTTCCAAAACCGAGATTTGCGGATTCTGTTCATTAAAAAACTTGACATTTTTGGAACTCAAATTCCAAAATTTTGTTTGGAATTTCTCAAATCAAGTTTTTTTCTAGAAAATTGTTGACTTTTGACATTGCAGCAAATTTTACTTTTTAAACTTAGAAATTTCCACACTTCAAAAAATCTTTAAAAAAAATACTAGAAAAATATCAAAATTTCAGATTTTTTTTTTATCAAATTTTCGACTGAACTCAGCAATTTTCACGTTCCTTTCTAAAAAATTTCTGACTCTTGATGCAAATTTTTGACTTCTCAAACAGAAATTTGCTTTAAAAATTCTAGAAAATTTCAGAGGAAAATCAAGAAATTTTTTTTTGCCTTTATTTTTTAATTTTGGCAGAAATATATATATTTTTTTCTCTTCTAACTACAATGACCCTAAAACGCCGCCGTAGTTTTCCCTGGTATGTCTTTAAAAATACTTTAAACTTCTCGGTAGCCTCCTCTCCATTCCCAGCATCTAGATCGTAAAACTCTCTCCAGTTTCCTCCAGTCCCGCCCCGTTTCTTTTCCCAGTCTGACAGTTCTGATTCTCTGTCAGGTGAGTCAACTGAGGTTCTGGATGTGTTGGGGATCATCTCCAAATATGAAGTAGAAAAAATAAACAATAGGTTGTTGAGTTGAGTAGAAGGAGTCCTAGCTGCAGCGGCAAACCTAACATTTGTCTTTCTTCCTGTCTTTTCTGTTTTCGGTCCGAACCCAGAGTGCCGTCGACCTGGACGACCCGTATTAGCCGCGTCGGCACCTTTCCCGTCTCTTCCCGGAGATCCGAGCATCCACCAGGAGGAGGCTCGTCTCTCCACTGCGCCGTGTCTTTCTCCACTAAAAAGACGACATACAGTGTGTGCTGGAATGCGTGTGTATGTATTGGTCGTGCATTTGTGTGTGTGTGTGTGTGTGGGTGCGTGTGTGTGGGTATTTTTCGCAGAAGCGAGACAAAAACAACAACAAAAAAACTACAACTGAACACATGCATAACTGCTTGAAACCCTCGTTGGAGGAAAAACCCAATCACTCTTCAACAAAAAAAAAAAAAAAAAAAATTGTATAGATTTTACAAACTGCAGCGTTTTGACGGTAGAAACTGATTTTTACCGTTTGAATTTTTTTGTTTTGTTTTCTTGAATGTTGAACACCTGACGTCACAATGATATGAGGACCTATCGTGCGCATGGTTTTTTTGTTTTCGTTTTCTGTGACCGTGTGTTTGACGGAGAGAGGGTGTGTGTGTGTATGTCTGCGTGTGTGTGTGTGTGTGTGTGCATGTGGGAGTGTTTAACTGAGAGGGCCAAGAGGACACACATGACAGACGAATAAAGACTTTATGTAATTCTTCACATTTTTTTTTTGTGCTCTAACACCCTTTTGCTTCTTCCCTCTATTAGAAAAAAAAACACTCTTTCTCTCTCACACACACACACACACACACACCCTTCGCCCGCATCACTTCCACCTGTGCAGGTATAAATGACGTGCCACAGGCGCAGGGCACTGCATGAGGACTTGGGTTGTACGTGTACAGCTACGCGGTTTTCTAATCATCATCATCCTCAGCGGACAGCCATTGGTCCAGGCTGACTGAACCTGGAAGCTCTCTGGACTCTGGCTGCGTGAGAATTGATTTGGATTTTATTTTTGCTGATCGAATTAGGACAAGATGACGATAATCATGGTGGGGGAGGAGCGGGGCGTGAAAGAGCGGATGTTGTAACACTGGTTGGACTTCCTCGACGTCGTCTGAGGCGCAGCAGACTAACCTGACGAAGGAGGAAAAGGCTTTCTTTCTTTCTTTTTTTTTTTTTTTAAATGTTGCCCATGAGGTTACTAGTTGCTCGCTGTGTAGAGTGAGTGAACTCCCAGTTTTAACCCTGTTCCTGGTTCTCAGACTGCATTGGTAATGTTTGTATTGCTGTTGTTTGATTGCACTCACATTTGATTACAGAAAAGCGTCTATATATGAAATAAAATACCTGCCAAGGACAGAGCGGCGGTGGTCGTGTATTTGCATACAAGAAGGAACATTTCCTTTGTGAAGCTCAATGAGTTTGAAAATTAGAGAAAAGTTGCATCAGTAAATGCAAATTAAAAGTTTAAACTTCATTGCTCACAGTGATTCTTATCAACACTTTATTTTTGTTTGCTGCAGCTAACGAAAACCCAAATTTCAGTTTCTCAAAAGAATTTAAAAACGATGTCGAAATTTAAAGCTATGTAACGTTTATGAAAAGATATATTTTTTATATATTTTATTGAAACTGTCACAATGTGTCAGGATGTGACAAAATCTGAAAAAAAAATAATTCAACGCCTTCTTCCAGTGCTCCTACATCTAACTGGAAACAACCAATCAGAGGTCCTGATTCATCACAGGCTGTTTCTCCAGTAAATGAGATGATTGACAGCGCTAAGACCCTCCTCCTGGCTCTGATTGGATGATTTTGATCTGGAGCGACACATCTTTTCACAGATTATCTGTCTCATAATATTCTGTCACTACATGGTAACAGTTTTAATGAATATATAAAAACCCATTTCAAGAAAAGTCACAAGTTAATATAATAATACAGCACCATTTTGACCTGCACATCATGTGGATGTTTGCCAAACTTGGTAAAAGGAAAAAGTGAGAAGAGCAGCACCAACATGTGGCATGACCTTAAAGGGCGGCTCATTTGGGAAACCTGATTAAGATGAAGATTAATTGGAAAATAAAACGTAAAAGATTCATTGCCAGTTATGACAAAAGTTGTTTAAACAAAAGCAGAAAAGCAAAACCAGAACAAAATGTTCAGGTGTAATTTTTAGTCCTGCTGTGTCTGTAAATGTGAGGAAACAAAACGAGAGCTGAAAGTGGAAGCAATGTTCAGGGTTCAGGTAAAAAAGAAAAAAAAAAAAGACTTAAAAAGTCCTGAAAATGAACCATTTTAAGACACTTGTACTTTTTCATGTGTTATTCTGAATTCAGCATTTTGTTTCTGATTGTCAAAACTAATTTATTGTTTCTGTCATAAAAGCAACTCGTTTGGAGCATAAGTGGATTTACTAAGGTCACTTTGAGCTAAAGACTTTTTCTAGCAATGATCAGAAAACTTGAGCTCTGCTCACATAAACACATATTATGTTTAATCTGTCACTCCGTCATAATTTGATCCTAATCCCTAATCATAATCACATCGTATCTTAAAGGTGTTCTCAATCTGGTGCGGGATTATTTTTGGGGTGTGAGTCGGAGTGAGAGTGAGCAATCCAAATATATCATGACGGGCAAATTTAATTTGATGAGAGCAGGCGGGGGGACAAATCGCGCCGCTGAGCCGCCTTTAAGCTGCGGCTTGTAATAAAACAATACAGAGGCACTGACCTGGTAAAAGTGTGTTTAGGTTTTGTTCGTCTTTAATCTCTTTCACTTTAATTTGTTTTCCTAGAGGAACTACAGGAGAAAACAAAACAAGTTGTGTTTTAAGGGGTACAGATCTACTCTCCCTTATCAGACACGCCAGCTTGGACGGCGATCTAATTCCCCTCAACAGCTGATGAGCTGCAGGGATTATAGTATATTTTCTACCTCTAAAGTGTGCCTTTTTTATCAAATAAATGTTCAACTAGTGCTTACCAAACAGCACAGGCAGATTTGGCATGATTTGTGCAGGAGAAGTAAACAGAAACAATAGAGTCAGTGAGTCTGGCCTGTAAAAACGAGATAGAATTGCAGCATTTTTGGTTGCTTTTCATAGCAATTATGACTCTTTGCAACTGTATTTAAAAAAAAAAATCTCACCTCTATCTTGATATAGATAGAGGTGAGTTTAACAGAGGCAATTTATCAAATAATATTTACACTGGTCAATTAAAAACTTGTAAAATGAGCAAATATTAAATATAAAGTACTTATTTATGCAAAATATAGGAATAGATGTTGAATTGAGACATTTTAATGTTTCATGACAGAAGAAACACATCAAAATCCGCAAGTCTGAGGTAAATAATCCCACAACTTTAGCTGAGAAACGTTTAATTTCCCACTTTTCTGACTTTCTTTAAGCTGTGCTGCAAACTGACCACAAAGATTCATTTAGCTGTGATATTTTTTGTAATTTCCATACAAACCAATATTCAAAATATTGATAATTACAGTAATAAAATTTAAAGCAATGATTCGTGAAAATTTTAAAAAAGCTACTTTTCTAGCTTCTAGTACTAACTAGCTGTGCTCCAGTCCTAGAACAAGCTTATGTCTCAGAATCTGTTATGCCACATTTAATTTTTTGATTTTATATTTTTGTGGGATTATTTTTCTGTTCGAAGCTTCTTGCATTGAAGCTTCGGACAGAAAAGAAGAATTTAGAAAGCTGACATTGAGCTCTCCACTGGAGCGAACGAATCAACTGCACATGTGTGCATAGAAAATGCAGACCGTTTCATTTCTTTACTCTTTTCCTATTTGGAAAGAATTTTGCCGCGTCCTTTCACCTGCACCATTTATAAAATTTCATCCGCCTCAGACTGACTTTACCTACAACCTGATTTATATTCTCCTCTTTCGACTCTTATATATTCACATTCTTACTTTTCTATAGCGATTGTACTTGCAGCTTTCCTCCCACTAAAGTTCCAATTGGTTTTTCATTTCTATATCTGCTGACCCGGCTGACCCCGACAAGCAGAACAAGTCGCGCCAGCCGAGTAACCCGAATTCCTTTATTAGCAGGCAAAAAGATGCAAATGGTGTTTTTCTTTCCATTTATCTCCTTTCCCTTCGCTCCTCCA